TTTGCCAACTTAATTCCGGGCAGCCAGCGGCCAGGGCACCGCGTGGAGATAATTGCATTTCTGCAATGAAGTGATGGCGCCAATAGGCTCTTTGAAGTCAGAAATATAGCCAAACAACACAGGGTTAGCATTCCCTAATAAAATGGGCTTTCTGGCATAACTGCATTGTACATCTGAAGTCATGCATCATAACAATATTCTTTTCCTGGGAATTGTCGTTCTAATACTTGTTTAGATTAAATGGGCTCTCTCCCCTAAGAGGGGAAAAACATTAAAGGTGTTTTATTGTAAACAAAGAGTCAGAACTTAATGGGGAAAAACTGTAATGAACTCCAACTCTGGCAAAAACAACATAATTACAAAATTACGCCTTTAGCATGTGTGTGTCTTGGATTTTTTCTCCCCTCATTCACCATGACTTACTGAGGGCAGGAGGCTTATTCTCACTCCTTACCTCCTCCATCAACCACGTCTTCACCATTCTGCCACAGAGCCTCAAAGTAACAGGCAGTTTTCTTAATTGTGCAGTGCACAGTTTCACCACAATCACCAAACTGCATCAGCACCAGGACCCTTTGATAAACTGTCACCTTTACAGTTCCTTGGTGAATGTCAGGTCTCAGCGATGACCCAGGAGGGATTCCAATAATTATATGAAATTATGGAAAGAGCTTTGCCTTCTGGACGTGGGGGGTTCTTTTTAAAAGGGCACCTAAATGAATGAACACTGCAATACTGTAAGGCTGACATACAGCTGGCATTTCATGTGTCAGGTGTTTTCCCCCCACGGTCGTGAGTGAAGTGATTTGTGGGCAACACTATGGGAATGTGACACTGAAGGGGAATTTGTGGAGACACACAGACGTACATGACCCTACAAATGTCTTCCATCCCACCTAACAATAAACTGATCCCACAGAGACAGGCAGTGCCATTGGCTACTGAGAGTAAAGCGGCATCCAAAACAAACAATGAGAGACTTTACAGTAACTGTGCCTAATGATCAGACATACGGACCTTAGGTCATCGGATGGAAGGTGACCCCCAGAGGCATTCAACTGCATTGCTGAAACAGACCCCATCTGTAGATTCCTTACATCTCTCATGACCGACCAATCACATGCAAGATAAGATATGACTGCCTGATAGCCTGCCTTGATTGGGTCTAGAAACAGGAAGTGGATGGCTAGCAACGCAATCAGTGGCTGCCCAACACCTCTCCTTAAACTGGTCAAGGTGCTCTCTTCCTGCTTGGTTTCCATTTTTGTATCTGTTTTTTGTTTATTTGGAGTGTGATTTTATGTTGTTAATAAAACACATCCTCAACACTGAAAAAATGAAACATATAGAAACCACAAACAAAATGTGAATATTACCAGTGAAAGAGCCCCCTGCTAGTTTTCAAAGTCCACTGTGGTGCTGAGCCTAATGTGAGATTAATGTGTGAAGCAGACGTCACGATAACCATCCCCCATACACACACACACACACGCACGCACACACACACAGGCACGCATGCACGCGCGCACACACACATACACGTACACACACGCACATAGACGCACGCACGCACACACAGACACACACGCATGCACACACATACACGCACACACACACACACATACACACACACACATACATGCACACACACACACACATGCACACACACACACACACACACACCCTGCTTCTGAACACCACTTGGAAATAATCACCTAATCTAAATCATCAGAAACAAATGAATTACAAGTCACACTCCATGAAAATGTAATTGCTCAGTTGATTTGCTGTCTTGTTGGTGCTGGAAAGCGGCTGTTTATACCTGGAACCAAGACCAGCTGTCTGTGTGCACAGAAGTAAGATGGCAACAATAAGTAAGCATTAAGAATGGCCTGATTTAAAGAAACAAAACATATGTGTTGATGTACTTCAGGAACAGCTTGTTCAAATCACCTGCTGTTTGGAGTACTGTCTGAAACAAGATTTACTGAGCTCTGCCTCAGTGTCTGAGGCAGAGCAACAAGCTCCATGGGTATGGGTGTGATTTGTCCTTAAAATAGGTGTGATTTGTCCTTAGAATAGATGTGGTTCAGTCTTAAAATGGGTGTGGTTTGGTCTTAGAATGGATATAGTTTAGCTTTAAAATGGGTGCACTTCGCCTTGACCTCCCAGAGTATGAACCTCTGAAATTCTGCTCACTGAGAGGCAGAAGGAATTGACATGCTGCATGCGTCTGCATGCCTCCCCATGCGGTTAGCGTGATGGAAACATGGCCTCTCTTTAAAGTCTGAAACTGGGGTAGTCTTTTCCCCTAGGGCATATGGAATACCTCCCAGGAGCACTTGACTAAAATCTTCCATTATACAAATTTTCCCAAGACTTATTCATTAGTTTAGCCATTCATTAGTTTATTTATCTAAATAAAAGTAATATTAAGGTCCTCCCACAACATTCCCCCCCCCCCACATACACACATATAAAATCAAATGCGTACTTGCAAACCCCTCACTCGACCAGGCAATTATTTTTCCCTCTCAGAAGCAGAAATTGGCATCCTTAAATTAAATCAGACTGTTAATTGACTCACAATCGAAGGATTCCTGCAGCCCCCGGCCTCGCTGGGAGGGGGGCTGCCTGCCGCTGCCGAGATGTTCTGCAAATTCTAATGCGTGAATATTTCCGTGAAACATCCACTGCAGGTCTATCTATAATTCACGGGCCTGGTCTTATTGCGGTGATTAAAAATGGCAGATGCACAAATCAGTGTCTGCATTAATACAGCGCTACAGCTGCACGACTGGAGAAGCAGGCGATCAGTGTGCTGCCACGGTTTAGCCAAACCATCCTACAGCACATTTATTTTAATGAATTAATCACTGTTTCTGTCTGCTGACCGTCTGCAATTTGTTCTTGTGTGGAACACGCTTTCATTTCATCTCTCAAAGGAAACGAGAACCTTTGCATCTCTCTATGCCAGTCTTCACCTGTAATCATCATTATCATCAACATCATCATCATCATCATCAGAGCTTCCTCCAGAATAGCTGAGGGCCAGACACCTGCACTTTCATTGCTATTTCCCCCTCTGCTCTTGCAAGAACTCCTCCCTGCCAAACTCTATTGTTCAATAAAGGGCAGTCTGTGAACTGAATGACTGAATCTCAATGGATCAGTAACTCTATATTGCTGCATGATAGAATTTTATATGAAACAAATGTATTCCCCTCCAACCTCATATCACACACACACATACATACAAACACACACACACACACACACAGACAAATACATTTTTTTGACAGGACTGTTTCTGGTAAAATTCCAATTACAGTGTACAGGGCTTTTTGTCTGGTTTTCATGGTTCTAGTCAGGACACGTATTGTGCTGGATGGCAGACACAGTCTTTGAGTGTTGCTGTAAAAAGGCCTTTATGAACAAGGAGTTGAGCTGGTGTCCCTGGTCTCAGATAACCTCAGAGAGAGAAGAGGACTGAGCAACTGTACTAGAGACAAAGGCTACACACAGAGACTCCTGGCAGCTTATCATGTTTACCTGAGAATGGACAGAAAGACGGGGCTCTTTGCTACCTTATTATTGTTTGCCAAACAGTAAATCATATTGCTTCTCAGATTTACAGCTGTCCTTAAGCTTCCTCCTTCTCTGCTGTCTGATCATTGCCAGCCATGTGTAGTAAAAACATCAGCTACAGCAGCGATCACGTATTAACACCGATGTAGGCGGTCTCCGTAGCGTACAAAGACACACAGTCTGCCTGCGGGCTTATCACAGGAAGCTTCAGGGCCTGAAAGCCCTTCTTTTGCTGGAAAATTCCTTTGTGAGCAGCTACATGTCTTGTAGTCTTTCCTCTCTAGATGGGAACACGTGTTCTTGGAATAAACTACATGTGTTTCAAACCAGGACAGCGGTGATTATGCAATTTCTGTGTGTTCTTACTCCTATCTGTAACCAAGCTTTGGTTCAGCCTTAACTATACTTAACTAGTGTTAAACTAGACAAATCACTAGATTTGCAGGTTTGATGACCAACTAAGAATCTTCTTTTCTGAGGGTGATTTCATACCCTGACTTTTCCTTTATACAGAGTGCTTTTACCTGTGTCCAGCAAACTATGAGTTAAGATGACATTATTTCACTTTGCACAGCAGCCACCGTTACCTCGAGAGACTTTCAGAGCTCACATTCGGTATATTAACCTTTCACACAGCTTGTTATTTACTGAGGCACTTTCAGTCAACTGTCCAACGCTACTACACCACACTAACATTTTCATATATTCATTTGTCAGACACTCACACCCACACAGATTGTTACAAATAGCTCAGAATGACTTAAAAAAAAAAAAGAAGTCCACCATACCGATGCATGTACCTCACACCATAACAGCATTGACTTTAGATTTTTTTCATTTAGCACACTGATTCTCAATCCTGCTCCTGGGGGCCCACCGCCCTGCATATCTTCTATCTATTCTTGCTCTACCTACCTGACTGAACTCATCAGTGGCACTTTTGACTAGCTGAGCACACCTGATTTAATCAAGAGCATGTTAATCACACTAATCAGGTGTGTTTGGAGCAAGGATAGATAGAAGACATGCAGGACAGTGGGCCTCCAGGAGCAGAATTGAGAAACACTGATTTAGCAGACACTTATCCAGATCGACTTACATAGGTTATAGTTTTACAATGTTATCCACTTTTACAGCTGGATATTTACTGAGACAATTGTGGGTTAAATACCTTGCCCAGGGGTATGACAGCAGCACCCCAGTGGGGAGCTGAACCAGCAACCTTCTGGTTATGAGCTTTGCTTCTCACCACTAAGCCACACTGCTGCCCACTGCTGCTGACAGGAGCAACTGTCCACAGAAAGACGAACCGAACAGAGGAGGGCAACTCTGCTGAGCTCCCTCATGTCTCTGTTCACAGTGTGAGCTGGCTGCAGGACCGTGCAAACACACAGCTGAACAGCTGTAGGGGCAGCAGTGTAGCATAGCGGTAAGAAGTAAGACTTGTGACCGAAAGGTTGCCGGTTCGATTCCCCACTGCTGTTGTACCCCTGGGCAAGGGACTTAACCCAGAACTGCCTCAGGAAATATCCAACTGTATAAATGGATAACATGTAAAAATCATAACCTATGTAAGTCGCTCTGGATAAAAGTGTCTGCTAATGTAATGTATTGTAATAACACCCTGAGCCCGCCATGTTACTGCGTATGCACGGTGTGCGCATACTGGATGCTGCTCGTTTAAACAGCTGTGCAGCCGTCCTGCTGCAGACGCAGACCGACGAGCAGCTCACTCCAGCCTCCTCAAGCAGAAGGAGACGAGAGGGAGACGACATTCTGCACACCACGGTAACCCGGCCTGCTCTCGCAACAGAAGGACGAGCTGGAAATAACACGCAGCGTGCGGGGGGGGGGTACGGACCCAACGCTCCCGCACATCACTTATTTATGACGCTTCTCAGGTCACGGCAGCGGAGAGGACGCCAGATCGGCTCGCGTGAGCATGTGGGCTAAGCGCTTCGTGTGGCCTGGTCACGTCAGAGGTGCTGTTTCTGTGGAGGGGGAGGGCCGGAGTTTGGGGGATGGGGTGGGGGATGGGGGGATGGGAGGGGGGGCAGAGCTGATCTCCACAGCAGTGTGATAGGAGCGTGTTGTGCTCCCTCAGAAGCCTGGCTCTGGGCCGGCCGGCTCCTGCCGCCTGTCCTTGAGGTAATAAGGGTGTCAGCCGCTGACAGCGATTGACGTACCGCGTGCGATTCCTGGCGGAGAGGCGCGAGGGGGAAGAATAACAGGGCAGCCGCCGCACCTCATCAAAAGCACAGCAGTAAATCCAGCACCGCGCCCGCGGGAGGAACGGCCCGTCACGCCTCACCCCAGACTGCAAACCCGCCAATCAATCCCCCCGGGAAAAAAAACGCAGCCGAGCCAATGCAGCGTGAGGCTCACAGCATACGGCTTACTGCGCACAGCTCACAGTGTACAGACTCACAGAGTACAGCTCACAGAGTACAGCTTACTGCGCACAGCTCACAGCGTACAGACTCACAGAGTACAGCTTACTGCGCACAGCTCACAGCGTACAGACTCACAGAGTACAGCTCACAGAGTACAGCTTACTGCGCACAGCTCACAGCGTACAGACTCACAGAGTACAGCTCACAGAGTACAGCTTACTGCGCACAGCTCACAGTGTACAGACTCACAGAGTACAGCTCACAGAGTACAGCTTACTGTGTACAGCTCACAGCGTACAGCTCACAGCGTACAGACTCACAGAGTACAGCTTACTGTGTACAGCTCACAGTGTACAGACTCACAGAGTGCAGTTCAGAGTGTATGTGCTCACAGGGAGCTAGGAGTTACCTTGAATGGTTTTCTAAATCTTAATTTCTCACTTGTAAGTCGCTTTGGATAAAAGCGTCTGCCAAATGACCTAAATGTAAATGTAAATGTAATTTATTAATTCACCAGCTGTTCACTTTTGTCTTTCTCCAATATTGTTTTAAATCTGTTTTGTTAGATTTCTTTCCCTTTTTGGTTTGTTTTTTTTCCCCCAACCTGTATCATGGACAAAAAAATTCTACAGTTTGTTGCTCGTTTTGCTAAGCCTTGCAGCAGTAGAGGAATAACTGGAGCCCATGTCTCGTGATCAAGAGCAAAACAAGGTCCAGCCTCACCTGCACTAATAAAATTCAGACCCAAGTTTCTATGTAACGCACCAGTCAATCATATGCTGGAGGTATCTGAAACACAGCACTGCTCTGAGGTAGATTAGGTAATGTCAGTGTGCTTTTTTTTAGCTCATGTTAAGCAATCCCATTCTGTATGTGACATTTTGACCTGAAATGCATAACAGAGCACTTCTGGCAGAGTTGAAAGTTAACTTCACTGCTGTGCCTCCAGCTGGATTCAGGCTTAACAATGGCATAGTCTCTCTAGCAGGCATGTTTTCTACAACCTGTGACGACAGCTGACCACAAATAAATAAATCCATAAACCTCAAGTACTGACAGTAAAACTCCCAAATTTCTACTAAAGGGAAATAGCAAAGTGCAACTGTATGGTTTCAAAATTTTTAAATCTCCCAAAGGGCTCATTTTAAAATTTGATCACCTGTGCGGTTTCTTGTAAAACACTTGTTCTGATGCAGGAATTAAACTGTCATTGAATTCCAAGAGGACAAGGTGCTGTGCAGTCATTAGCAGTGGTGGGGAACTACAACTAGAGTGAGTTCAAACTAAAAAGTAACATGGGTGTGCCCTGAAACTGTGGATTGTCCAAGTGGATGGTCTGAGTTCAGGGCTATCTGTCTGACACCTCAAACGCACTCAAAGAAAATAACCTGAAATGGAAAGGCTGGACAGAGGCTGCCATACTCGAGTCTACCCAAATAAAAGGGTCATCAAGTGGCGCAGCAGCAATGTGTCTCTCACTGAGCTGGGTGTGGCTGCACACTGCAATAAACCATGCAGGTTGACCCTCTCTCTCCTCTCATCTCCTCTCAGTGCCCTGTGGTGCAGTGGAAACTCCTCTGATCTGTGCCTGATTCATGCTGCAAACTCAAAAGAGACGTTTTGCATTGCCTCTGCACTTCGGGGTGCCCAGTCTGTGCATACATATTCCATCGCTGTGACTGGAACGCATCTCTGTCACAAACGGTAAGTGAACAAAAACAAGCAAGCGCTCCAGGAGAAACACAAAACAGCAGAAGTGAGCGCTAATGTCACCACAACAACGAGAGAGGAACAAAAGCAACTCCAAACCCACGCTCACCGGCCCAGCTCCAAGGAGTCTGAGGTTAGCGATACTGACACAAAAATATCTGTTTATAATTCTCAGAATTATTCGTCTGACTTATTTGTTGAGGATATCTTCCACAGAACAGGCCTCATAAAAACTGACAAACAGTGCAATATCAAAGCATATTTAAAAATGCACTCTAATTGGTGAACAAATGCTGAATCTTTAAATCCCAGATGTCGCACAAGTAGATGATATTGTGATAGAAATTAGCACCTAGGCTCTGTTGTGCAGTTTCATAGATGTACAATACCATTAGCATAAAAATATGTATTTCAATGAATACAAACAGCAAGATAATAAGCTTGCAAATGTGGACCGCATTTTTCATTTTCACCGCCTGTAAATTAAAGCATCACACCGCGCACTAGAAGAGGAAGTGGCTGATTGGTGCTCTGTCTGTACCTTCTTTTGATCAGTAAAAACACAGATAATATACTCATCTTTTTACCAACTACCGTGCTCTCTTTTAGGTCATTCTAGTAAGACACAGTGACAGTTGTACCATGAATCACTGTCTGTGAATTACCATTAATGGACCCCATTCCACCCTCATTAAAATATTTATCAATTCAGCTCCATCAAGAAAGTCTAAAAAGATTCTGTTACTTCAGAATTGTGACTGATGAGCTCCACCCACCATTAAATCATTATGTTCCCTCAGAAAAATAAATAAAGGCTTAGATGCTGTTCTTGAAAAATCACCATGGTGAAAGGACACACCCACCGGAGAGGGTCTGAATGAGATTATTTAAATCTGTGCGGCTTCTATTACTCACAGCCATATCCTTACATAGTGCCAACTCCGTTTGATGGAATCATGGCCTACTGTTTGCTTTTGACAGTGCAATCACAGATCACTTGTTTGGTCAGACATGTACATTTTCTTTGAGTGGCCATAACTCTTCACTTGTCTTCCTTCTTGTGCACTGCATCAGTAAATACACCTCTATATACGCCACCTGGCAGAAAAAAAGCCCCAACATCAGAGTGTTTCAGGTTCAAATCCAAGCTGAAGTCGTGCTGTTGTACCTGTCAGAGAGTATAAGGTAAAGCCATGCTGTTGTACCTATCAGTGGGTACAATGTAAGACCCTGCTGTCCTACCTGTCAGAGGGTATAACGGAGCTGCTGTCATACCTGACAGGGGGTATAAGGTTAGACTCTGCTGTTGTAACTGTCAGAGGGTATAATCTAAGGCTCTGCTTTCATATCTGTTAGATGGTATAAGGGAAGGAGCTGATGTCATACCTCTCTGCAAGTTGCATTATCAGTGTTGCGTCAGTAAATATATCCAGCAGCATAAAAATGTAACAACATCTGCTAAGCAAATGAATGATGTAGCATACTGATGACAGTGGTCCAGGCCTTAAAAAAGCTCTCATGTGCTTTGCAATGATTCAATTTTTGTGCTCTACACTACTGTAAACTGCACAGGACAGAGTCTGCAGAAAAAACACGGGTCATTAGGTGATCCTACAGGAGTACCTAAGTCAGTCAGACAGGATGGTGTTTCTCTCTTTGGCTGACTGCTGTGGCATTTTTACTCTCTTTAAATGCACCCTGACATGGTCCAGCCTGCTGAGGATGTATGAAGTATGATCCCTCCAAAAAACTGTGCCTTTCTCCATTTGCACATCCTATTTTTCCATTCCAAAACGTTAATTTTTTTACTCCAAAAACGAGATGTTTAGAAAAACAAAAAACGACGTGAAACGTGGACACCAGCCTTAAATCGCTGTGCATTTCAGAATGTAATCTTAAATGATTTCCTAGATGATTTAATCTTAAACGACAAAATGTCCATGACGTCACAGTGTGTTGCTTCCGAACATTACACAGACATTACACGGACCTTTTCGATCTTTCGCTGCTTTCAGTAGTCCACAGCGCTTTCAGTACGTCATGACTGAAGGTTTGGGCAAAGAATACACTTGAACTTTGGCTCGAGCAAAGAGTGACCCTTTCAGCACGTGGACACTGACCCAGGACAGTGACCTAAGCAAATATTCATGTATCATGTGCAAAGCAGACAGACCGAATTTTCTTCTTCAAATAGGTTTTTAGAAGTCCGTTTGAGACATGAATGCTCATTCGAATACAAGGGAAAACAAGTTGCCAATAATATAACCTAACCATCTTCGGCCGAAAGATCTGTTTTGGTAATTGTGAACAGAGTGGCGCTTTGGACAGCAAGCGGCAAAAACGCAACAAATAGTAACAGGGGTAATTCCAGTAAGCGCA